TTTCTTGGAGAAAATGTTTTATAGTCATCGGTGATCGGTGCTAACAGATATATACAACAAATATAAAAATTATTATATTCTGAGGATTTGACACTTGTTTAGTCTTAGAATATGACATTTTCAGAAGACCTGCAAATTTCGAGTAGAAATTCCCCAGTTTTTCCGGCTTAATCCCGGAAGTTTGGAAATTTTCCTGATTGTGCGATATACATTTAAATTAAACATAATACCAAAAGTGATTAGTGAAAGAAAATACTAGCTTTAATGGGTCATTACTAAAAAACTATAAAAATTTATATATATTTTAACTACCTTTAAAATTTACTCTAAGATTTTTACAGGAATGTTCTCAAGAATTTGCATAAGAATAATGTCCCTTCACAGAGTCTATTTCAAAATTTCTCTAAAATTAATTTGATCAAACTACAAGTTCCAGCTTTTCACTAGAAGTTACTTGAAAATATATTTATAACAATCCAGACATTTACTGCAGAACACTTCAAACATTAATGGAATTCATCCTAAGATTATTTTCGAATTTTTAATGATTATTTCAAGAATTTACTGAAATAGGATTAAAAATTGAATTAAATTCCATGAAATTCACGTTAGAAATGTCTCTTCTCAAAATGCCCTTACAAGTATCCTCGGAATTCCCATTTAACTCTTCTCAGAATGACTCTGGAAGTGTCCTGTCCAAATTCGGTACCCTTGGTATTTTTTGCGGAATTCCATAGGAACTCTCTTTATATTTATATACCTTCAAATCACACAGTAAAAGACGACTTTCTAAAACAGGAAAACTTTACCATGTTTGACTGACTACTACTGAGTATAGAGTATAGAGTCTAGAATATACTTTTACCCAGTGGCGTCGCGTAACCTCACTTTTTACCTTTTCTACAACATTGAAAACGTTATTTAGGGTTATGTTTACATTCAAATTAGTTTAAAAAGACATAAGGTCTTCTACCAACATTGTTTTGTTCGTTTATGTTTTGAGAGTTGTTGAACAGGTAGGGCGACGCCTCTGCTTTTACCCTAAAACGTTAAGGTTTTAAGTTACCAGTCTCTTTAACCCGTTAACAACCAAGTCGTCTTGGACCTCCGGACAGTGCGCGATTTTTCCAGGAGTTATCCAAGGATTATTTATTCTCACATTATTTGAAAACAAGATGAATTTACGTTCCCAATTTCTGTTAATGGGCTAATGAGGTTGCACCGCCCTAAAGGTGTGTATGAGATCAACGCGTTCCCAAACCATACCCAAGAAATTTACCAAACATCACGTATCACGTTCACGAATCTGATTTCGTTTCCCGGAAAATTTTTATTTGCTTAGAAAAGTCATGCTAAATATAAATTTCCGATCACACCACCCAGGAAATCATTTCAAGGAAATTTGCTTCGTGTTATCGTGGGAAAATCTAAAGAAACTTCAGGAGGAAACAGAAAGAAACTTCTGTAGCTAATCGGAAGAAACTTATGGTGTCTGCATGAGGTTCCGTAAAAAGACGGACCGAAATAAATTGTAAAGACTTCCGGAAGAAGACAGAGCATAAGGCATACATTATTTTTGAGGATGTTGGGAGAAACTTCCGTGGGTAATTAAAGGGAACATTCGAAAGATGTCGAAACAAATTTCTGGGCGAAGTTTGAAAAAAATTCTGCAAAAAATTCCAAGGGAAGCCAGAAAGACTTCTGAAGAATAGTTAAGAAAGTTCTAGGCGATGATGTCGCAAAAATCTTCTGAGGGCTGTGGAAATAAACTTCAGGTTTTAGTTTAAAAATATTTACGATGAAGTTTGGAGAGCTTCCTGATTAATACTAAAAAGAAATATGCGAGAATTCGAGAAAAAAAAGCTTCCTGAAGGTTGAAAAACTTAATCATTCTTAAACTATTTCTCATTTACTAATAAAGAACACCAACAGGCGACATAGTTCCTAAGGAATATGGAAGCTGAAAAAAAAATCTACTGGGATAGATCAGAAAGAGCTTCTGGAGAATGCCGGAAAAACTTCCAAAGTAATCTAGAAGAGTTTTAAGTGGCAGTTTGTCAAAAACAAACTTGTTGAAGAATCTGGAAGAATCTTCCGAAAAAAAATCCAGAAGACAGATACTCCTGGGTGATGCAAAACAGAATTCTGGAAGATGTCAGGAGAAAATTCGGGAACACATCGGAAGAATCATCCAGGGGAAATCGGTTGAAAATTTCGGAAGAAGTTCAAAGAAACTAGCGATACAAGCTTTGGAATGAAGTCGGAAATACTTTCCAGGAGAAACCAGAAGATCATCTGAAGAAATTACTGAGGAAAATATAAGTAAAAATACATCCGGAGGAAGTTGGATGCAGATTCCGGGAAAAAAGGGGAAACTTCCGGGCAATGTCGCAAGAACCTTCTGAGAAAGGAAGAAAAACCAGAACTGTATCGTTGTACAGAAATTGAAACATGAACATTCTGATTAACCTATTTGGTTACTGGATATAATTATTTTCAGATTCCTGGGAACAGTCACCTACTGTTTCCTGATTCCCGGGTAGCCAAGGCCGGGAAAAGGAAACGCAGCTTCAATAATCTCGCAATTTCATTGGAAATCTCATTAGAACTCTCTAAAAATTCTTCTCAGCACTTATTCCGAATATTCATTAGAAATGAAACTGGAATCCTCTTTACAATCAACAATTAATCCCAGAACTACCTAAACTATAACATCTACTCTAAACTCACACAATTAATTAAGAATTCTTATCAAAACCCTTCAACAGGTCATTCCAAAACTCCCTTGGAATTTTTCACTGAAAATTTTATTGTTTGTCCCTAGAATTCATTTTAAAATCTCCTCAAAATTCTTTTCATAATTCTTCAAAGTGACTGTATCACGAAAATCTATTCCATTCCAAGGGTTTTAACATTTTTTTAAACGTCCAGAATCTCATTTTTCCGAAGAGACGTGACGAAGCATATATTTTTCACGATTTGCAGGGCTGGTAGTGGGTATGTATTATATTACATGGTGATTTTAGTGACAAAAATAACGGAAATAGTGACTTTAGAACAATAAAAAAAGGACCTACAGTGACATTAATTCAACTAAAAACATGGTTCTAATTTATCGTTGATTGCGACCCACTTCGAGAAATTTTGTAACTCACGATTACAACTCACGTGCATGTGCCTAGGACTTAAAATATCGATCTTCGAGCACATTTTAAGATTCCGGGATGCATTTTAGAGATTTTGAACCATTCATTTTTAATACTGGGATTTAACAATTCAAGATCTCAAAGATACACGACCGATCATAAGTTTAAGGACACCCCCAAAAAACCATGCAAATATGTTTCGTTCAATGATCTCTCATTTTACGTTCAATTTTCGATCTCCAAAGGTTATTTGAATGGTATGAATGGCATAGCATAAGTGTTCTACTACTATTTTTATTTCAAAATGTTGCCAACCCAATTCTGAGAAAATCAGTCACGATTCTTCAGAGTAAATTTTGAAAAATATTGTAACTTTGGGTGAACTTTTAGCACACAAAATTTAAAAATTTTATTGAACAACTTGCCTACGAGGAAAGTTCCTTTCAATACCTTTCAAATGATCTAAAGAGAACGAAAATTGGACGTAACATGACAGAGATATGAACATAACAAAATGTTTTTTGGGGGTGTCCTTAAACATATGATCGGGAGTGTAAACCAATTGAGAAAATTTGTGCGGCCCATGTTTTCTTCGATATTTTGAACATATAGAACGTAAGTTCACAGTCCTAGAAAAATTCAAATGCTTTCGAAACACATAGGGGAAATGGCTCTAATATTGGCCTATGGATCTAAGGTTGGGCTCATCGCTTAAAATCTGCTGTTTATCAATTTTATCTAGATGAACGCGTCATTGGGATGGTACTTGTGGATATTTTTGGTCGCTATTCAAAATTTAGTCGATTACTGAATTTATGTATGGGTATAAATTAGGGGCATTTAGCCCGACATTACATCCTTATAGGATTAATTTCCAATCGTGGTCGATTTTTGTTCCTGGGTATGGCATTTGGTTAGGAGTGTATTCGATAATGATTGAATAACAATTGGACTTCTATTATATTACAGCGATGCGGTTTCTGTTCCTCAGCTATTCTATTCAACTTGTGTTGCTATAACTGTATTGATATCTCCAGTGTGAGGAAAATAGCGCCTCAAATTCGCACATTAAACACTTCTCCTGAAGTTCACCATAGAATATGTTTTTTTTTTAATAAGTATACGCCAGACACACTCATGTTGAGACTATTAATAATCAACCTTTTCAAGTCGATCATGATTCTATTTTGAATTCGTTTATTAAATCGATTTTCTTGGCATTCTTCATTCAGCCGTATTTTAAATCTCTACAAAACAATATTTTACGCTGATTAGCAGCAAACAAAGCATCACCAGCTAACTTTCCAACTCCGATTGCACTTCGGTGAAGTTTTATTCAAAAGAATGCACCCGAGAACAAAACGGATAATTATCATAACTGTTATCATTTCGAAATATTATTGCACTCCACCCCCAACTGTTAACATTAATTCCATCTCTCGCCACACAAGTCGGCTCACAATGGACGAACCCTCCTCCCCCCGAAAACCCATTCCCTGAAGAAAATCCGCTGTTGTTATTTCCACCAGCCAGCGAATTAAAATTTTCCTCGGTTCTATGCATTTTAATTAAAATTTTCACTTCCACAAGCGCTCCAAGCTGGTTTGCCAGCCGCCGAGTCCGGATTTAAGCATCATCATCATCATCATCATCAGCGTTGTTTCGTCTATGGCGGTACTCTTGGCACTTGACCGTAGTCGTATAGTGGCCATGCAAATCACAATCAACGCCGAGCGCGCGCTTCGCTTGTGATAAATATTTATTTTCAGAACCGGAATTAGCAATTTGCCGACAATTAGTTTTGAACGCGAATTTTGTAATTTGATTAGCTGAATTCCTAACAAGCGCTCTTACCTGTAGCAAGTGATCCAAGCACATTTTCTTCAGAAGGCCTTCCACCGGACCCTCATCGCCCAAGACTGCTGCAGCCGTACTTCTTCTGTTCCGCTTCTTCCCGGTTGACGATTTTCTTCGATGTGATGATACACCAAATAACACTACACACTTGAGAGATTGAGCAATTTGACTTCCTTCTTCTACCAAGTATACGCACTAACACCGGAAATCTCCATCACCCACGCAGTTCATTCGACTGTTTTCAGCGCAATTTTTCCTTCACATCACCACAAGATTATGTAATCTGTTGGTATTTAATAACATCAACACCTGCGCGACCCAAATTCGAAAAAACGAACGGACAACAAAACCGAAAAAAAACGTAAACACAACACCCGAACCCGATCTAGATCGGTCGGTCGGTTCGTCGGTTCACTGGTCGGTCAGATTAATCAATTTTCACCCAATTCATTAACACGGCAACCCTTTCCGTACTCATCGAACGATTTTGCCGTTCTTCACCATGTTACCCATTTTCTTCAAAAAATACACGCAACCACTTTCCACCACTGCTTGACTGCTTGGCTGCTGCTACCAAAAACCGATGACCAAGGTCATCATCGCACTACACACAATTTCCCGGAAAATTTCACCACCGACTTGGAATTTCTTCACCCGCGTTCATCCGTCGTTGTCGGCGTGATGTAATTATGCTGGAAAGAAAATGGAGAAGGAAATTTCATCAATGAGTTAATGGGCTATTTGATTTGTTTGTGATATGAACGGCTGGAATTGGGTTATTTTTTGGATAAATTCATCCAGATCTCCTCCATCTTCATGGTGACCAGCAAATCTCGGTTAGCAATTTCTTGGTTTTTCTCCCGGAATTTTGGAAATTTTCCGGTTTAGCGATATACATTTCAATGAGCCATAAAACTGGATGGGTCATTTCTAAGACAGCAGCACCTTTGCTGGATATTGAATTTTGAATACCAGACGTTTATTTGATTGAGAGTTCTTTTCAGATTTCTTCTAAAATAAATTTGAAATTCTCTCTGGAAATCCATTGAAAATGTCTTTATACAGTCTAGAAATTATCTGTAGAATACTCCAAAAAATTCTTAAAATTCGTCCTTAGATTCTTTTTTTTTAATTTTAAACTCTTTTTAAGAATTCAGTGGAGCTTAGATTTTTTTTTAATTTGATTGAAATTCTCCGTAGAGTTCCCATGCAATTCACCTCAGATTCCAACAATTGAAAAAGGATTATTTAAAAACTTGTAAGCCTTCTTGCTAAGACGGGCAGGAAAAATTCTCCCGCAGAGAATTGTCTTCACATTTTTCTCTGAATTATCTTGGAGTTCTCCTCTAAATTCTTCTGGAAATTGTATGGAAAACTCATTAAAATTCTCTAGGCAATTATGCGGTTGGAATTATCCTCGGAATTTCTTCGGATCTTCGCAGAATTTGTTTGGAACTGTACTCTCAAAATTCGTTTCCTTGATATTTTTCACGAATAATAGAATCCTCTTGGAAGTTCCAGTAAAAACTCTCTTAGAGATTTTCGGAAAGCTCCCTAGAAAATATTCTCTGAAATAGGGGAAATGGATGTAATGTCGGCCTATATGTCCCTAATTTGGGCGCAATATTCCTTTAGTATTCCATGTTTAAAATTGTAGAAATTATCCATGCTCCAGAACCTTAAAAAAACACAATTCAAGCCTAAGCATTTATGTTACTGATGAAGATAAATCCACAATTATTTTGTTCAAAGAGTAAAAGTTGGTTGTTTTATAAAATATTTAAAAATTCCTGAGAAGGTTCTCTGGCGCAGTTCAATATATTATATTCTTAAAAATTTCTTGATAAAGGAATTTGAAAATTCCCTGAACATTTAGGGTTTTTTTTCAGGTTAAATAAAATTCCCTGAAGATACCAGGTTGTCCTATTTTTCCCATATTTTAATTTAACACCCTGAATTTACTTTCAATTCTTCTTACAAATCCCCTAGAAAAGTCTCCTCAAAATTACTTTGCAGTTTTAGACAAATCTTTTTTTGTAATTTCCTTGGAATGAACTACAGAATTATTTTGTTAACCCTCCGTTACTCGCGCCAACTTTTGTAACACGAGTACTCGCGCGTTGTACTTTGTACAACAGTGTGAGTTTTCCATTGCCATTTTGCAGCCGAGCTACCAATCGATATGAAACCAACGGGTATTCCTTAATAAACTTGTTTTTAACTAAACAAGTTAAACTTTTTTCACAGTTAACCCCCAAAAAATGCGGATAATAGAGAAAATGTGAAAGGAAACCGCGTAAACGGTGTCCGTACTACGTGGGATTTGACTTAATTGGTTACAACATGGAAAATCTCGAGATCCTGACCAGCTCGAATGGTACTCTCTTGGGCAAAGTTGTTCTAGAGATCATAACCTTTTTGCTGGTGGAGAGTAGTTCAGAATTTTCTCACTACGTAGCGCTAGATGTGAAATTCTCGCATGTGATATATCTCGAGATCCTGACCAGATAGAAAGATACTGTCTTTCACAAAGTTTTTCAGGAGGTCAAAGTCTATTGCTTGGTGCTCAATAGTTCAGAATTTGCTCACTACGCGGCGCTAGTATACACGTGAAATTATCATATAAAATATCTCGAGTTCTCGATCAGATAGAAAGGTACTGTCTTCGGCATATTTGTTCAGGAGGTCAAGGCCTTTTCGTAGGTGGACAGTAGTTCAGAGTTTTCTCACTTCGCGGCGGAACTATACATGTGAAATTTTCGTATATAAAATATCTCTAGATCCTGACCAGATAGAAAGTAAATGTATTCGGCAAAGTTTTTCAGGAAGTCAAGCTCTTTTTGTTCGGTGACAACAATTCAGAATTTTATCACTATGCGGCGCTAGTATACACGTGCCTTTCTCGCATATTCAATAGCTCGAGATCTTGATCAACTAGAAAGATGCTGTCTTCGGCAAAGTTGTTCAGGAGGGCAAGGTCTTTGGGCTGGTGGACAGTAGTTCAGAATTGTAGTACAGACAGTAGTATGGTCACAGTTTACGCGGTTTCCATTTACATTTTCTCTATTATCCGCACTTTTAGGTGTTTACTGTAATCAAAGTTTAGCTTGTTTAGATCAAAACAAGTTTTTTGAGGAATACTCGTTGGTTTCAGATCGATTGGTAAAGGTCCGTTTAGACTATCTGATTTCTTGGTCTGATTTTGACCGCCGCTATAATGAAAAATCTGCTCGATTTTACTTTCGACACACTTTGTCAAACTCCCCTGTTTGCTGGTGTTCAAACTGATTGCACATGTCGAAAGAACTGTCAATTTAGATTTCAAAACAAAACTGTATCAGGAATCAAAAGTTAATACTTCCATAATGAACTATCGGAAAATTACTCTAGCTTCGGTAGGCGTACTTGCTTTTATTATTTTAAATAAAATTAGAAGGAGAAGGAGAACTTTGTGGAGTAGGAAATGGTTGCTCTGAAGGAACACCGGCAGGGATCTGGCTCATCTTTCAAGAACTGCGATATGTGTGTTCTTCAGAAGTTCCGCAAATTTCTCTAAAAATATACAAAGTTCCTGAAACTATGCAGATTTAAGATCCTTAAATATCAACAATTATCTCTGATGATCACTAAATTTCTAATAATCTACGAACTTGTCGAAAGTTCTGTAATTTTCTCTGTTGATTTTCATGATTTCTGCAAATATCTCTGAACATCTACACAATTCCCTAAGGTATTAAAAAAAAAATATCTAGAAATTTTTGAGCTTCCCTGGAATTTAAGGAAGTTCTCTGAAGATCTACTAATTTTTCTGAAGTTGTGCAAATATCGTTAAAGATCAGCGAACTTCCTTGAAGTTCTTCAAATTTCTCTTAAAATGAAATAACCTCAATCAAATTCTGAAAATTTATTTTTAAAATCTGTAGATTTTTCAGTAGATTTACGATCTACCCTCTGAACTTTTCTGAAGTTTCTAAAATTTCATTCTGGAGCACTGTATTTCTGCTCTGAAGAGCTACGAACTGCCCTGAAGTTCAATGTTTTGTTTCAGTAGATCTTCGAACTTCTCTAAAGTTCTATAAATTTATTTGTGGATTCTTGGACTTCCATAAAACATACTTCTAAAGATTGGTGAGCTTTCCCGAAGTTCTGTGAGTTGTGCTGAAGTTATGCATTTTTTTCTAAAAATGTACGAACGTCCTGAAGTTCTACATACTTTTCTTAAGGTCTAAGGACACCTCTGAAGTTCTTCAGATCTATCTATTTGGAATTGAAACATTTTCTTCTGAAATTTTATGAATTTTCCTGAAGATCATTTAATATCTACTCTTCTGAACTTCTGCAAATACCTTTGAAGTTATGTTAAGTTTTCTAAAGTTCCGTAGTTCTATTCTCAAGTTCTACGAATTACCTTGAGGCTCAATAAATTTCTCAGTAGATCTGAAAACTTCTCTAAAGTTTTGTAAATTCCTCTGTAGGCTCTCGGGCTACCCTGAAGATCTGAAAATTTCTCTGAAGATCTTCGAAATTACCTAAAGTTCTCAAAATGTATCTAAAAACATGTGAGGTTCCTTGAAGTTTTAAATATTTCTCTCAAGATTAACAAGTTTCTCTGAAATTGTATAAATATTTTTAAAAAGATCGCCGAACTTCCCTAAAGTTCTGCAAATTTCACTGAAGATCCATTAAAGTTTCTGATATTTTAAAAATGTATCACAAAATCTGCACACTTTCCTTGAAGGCCATTAAATGTACCTGAGGATCTATGACCATTCTTGTGATTTTTTCAGAAGTACTGTAATTTTTTTTTTTCAAAGTTTTGAAGCTTTGTTTTGAATATCTACGATTTTTTCTGATGTTCAATAATTTTTCAGCAGATATGCAAACTTCTGTGAAGTTCTTTACATTTTACTGTAGATTTTTAGACTTGTCTGAACTTCTGCGAATTTATTTAAATTTTTGCAAAAAATTTCTGAAGTTGTGTAGTTCTGTTCTCCAGATCTACGAACTACCCTGAAGCTCAACAAATTTCTCAGTACATCTCCGAACCTCTCTGAAGCTCTAAAAAAATCTTAGAAGGCTCTCAGACCTACTGTCTGGCATGCTTATTCTTATATAAAACATGCTGTTTCGTTGACCTTGCCATGATTCAAACCATTACGGCATCTTTTGGCCAAAATAAAAATCATAATTTTAGAAAAAAATCTATATTTTCCCATCACTTGCGGCTATTTTGCTGAATGAGTTGAATGAAAATTAAACACAAACCTTTTTCGTTCGACAAATCAAACGGCAAATGTGTGAACGCATCCGAACATTGCATCCGATAAAATTATCGAGCAGCCTGCTCGAATCAGACCAAGAAATCAGATAGTCTAAATGGACCTTAACTCAGCAACAAAATGGCAATGGAAAACTCATGTGTGTTGTACAAAGTACGAGTAACAGAGGGTTAATGTACTTTGTATTCTGATCAGGATTCCCTTGGAATTCTACTTAAAACTAGCTTAAGGGGGTTCATTTTGATTTGGCCGAAAATCGTGCAAACTTTGCGATTTTTTTGTGGGAAAGTTGTGCTATTGAGTTTTAATGCCTTATACATTGATGATGTTTTTTTGTTTTGAAAAATTCAAAATGGCGGATCGCGTCGGCCTCTGCGCACGCAACAATGTCCCCTGCTGCCAATTGTAGGGCCTTCCGTGGTAAACTGAAATGAGTAACTGTCATATATTATGAAAATACATAAAATTTCCTACGGCATATACCTAACCCAAACAAATTTTTAACGAAGAGACGAACCAGCTACAGGCTGAAAGTCTCTATAATAAAGCAACAAAAAAAAATTTAACGAAAAAAACCTAACTTTTTGGATATTAAATAAAAAAGTATATTTTTTCTCTTTCTTTTTTATTTTGATCTGGTTTAAAAATTATAAAAAAAAACAATTGTTCATGCCAATAATAGGTATACGCCGCCGTAAAGAAAAGTATTCACTTTAAAACTATGTTTGAATGAAGCGAATCGGATGAATAGAACAAGACTTATGATTGACAAGAGTTCCTAAAACATGGTTCCGAGAAAAACGCGTTTAAAGTTTTTTGCGTGACATGGGTCCATTCGAGACGCTCTAACTCTAAAAATACGTATTGTATCGGAATATCCTTTGACACATATATTCTACACATGTGCAGTTTTCATTTTATGTAAAAAAAAAAAAAGATTTTTTCGATAAAATCTAAATGGGGATTTTCTAGAGATCCTTAGAAATTCTCATAAGATTTAGAGATTCAGAGCGTTGACACTTTTGCAAGGCACTAAATTTATTTGTAATCTGGGTTCTTGGAATTTATTCTATATCCAAAGGCTTGAATATTTAAATTCGTTCCGAATTCTTGAACATTTCTCTAGGTCTATGATTACAAAAAATAGTCTATAGAAATTATCCAGGTTCAGAACGTTAAAAAAACACAAATCAACACCCAACAGGGGAATGTAAGATTCGTTTGCAATTATGTGGGAGATCAGTGAGTGTCGTGAAATTCATCATGTCGAAAAAAAAGATTGCCGACTGGAGGACTTGAACCACGAACGTTGCGATTATCAGAACTGTGTTTCCTCCACTGCTCTCTCCATGCCTCGGAATATGGATAGGCTAAAAGCGAGGCTAAAAGCAAACAAGAAGCGCTCATTTCCTCGCATACTCGACTCCGTTTGCTTTTTGTGAAGGAGAAAATCAATGCAACGGTGTGTTTCGTCCTACCATGTTATACATAAAAATCAAGAAAAATGCTTGCTTTTGTAGGTGAAAACATATACAGAACACGGAATTAAAATAGATTAAAACTCATTGTTCATGAACAGAGGATGACACGAAATGGAACTAACATTCATTGCAATGAATTTTTGGTTTGCGTGAAGCCTAAGAATTTATGTTGTTACTCCACACTCTAGAATTAATGTGTTCAAAGAGTAAAAATAACAAACGAGGAAGATAAAGTTGGTTGTATTATGAAATATTTGATAATTCTTGAGACGATTCAAACGCAGTTCAATAGATTCTATTCTTAAAAATTTGCTTCATAAAATAATTTGAAAATTCCCAGAGAATTTCAGGCTTCTCCGGGTAAAATAAAATTCCCTGAAGATACCAGGATTTTTTTAAGGTAGTAGGCACCCTGTCACCTTAACCAATAGAACTCTTTATACAGCGTTTGCGGAGCCAATAATTCATTGATTCGTAACAAAATTTCATTTTCATTTTCGCGCAAGTCAATCCAAAGCCGAGGATAAAGGAAGGGTAATGCCTGAATAGTCTATGAGGACCACTTGAATGCCATGGGAAGGGATTGTTGAGGTCGGTTATTGGGGGATTTTGAGGAAATGACACATAGTACTAGATTTGTGCTGCAAAATTTAAAGAAACCGAAAATCCATCTCCCACCCATTGATCCTTTCACATATATACCAAATTGATATTTTAAAGCAACCATCAACATAAACAGACAATATATGAAAAGGCTAGTTGCCAGTTGCTTGAAAGGCTAGTTGCCTCCCTAAGCGGATCCCCCGCATCCTAACTCTTTTGTTAATCTACTTAATGTTATTAGGCTGTCTAAATTTTCTTATTTAAGTTCGTTTGATGATCATGATATCTCGTTAGCCTAATTTAATAAAAATAATTGAAATCTCTAATCTACCTAATCAATTATAACCCATGCTTTATGAAATACCTGCATTTGTGCATGTAATCTAAAATTTAACGTGTTTTAAGTTGTTTTTGACTTTGACCTATATTTATTATATATTAGTTCGTCCCAATAAAATGCTTCACTTTGAAGATAGTTTCCTAATCGATTTTTAAATTATATAGGGTATATGCTCCAACTACGCTCACACGTTTCCACTATGTCGTCCCACAAAATTACGTATGGATATGTCACAGTAGAAGCACGCCACAGTAGAAATCCCGAGCCATAGTTCAAACATTTATCCCAAATCAAAATGAAGCACGTATAAGATTAGTTACAACACCATGTACAAAAATGGTGTTTAACATTGTTCTTTGAGTAATACCTACTTCAATGAAAACAACAATGAAAGCTTGTCACGCAAATAGAAGGAGCACTGTTGGGCGTTTTCTGAAATATTTCTATAGTATAATTCCCTTGCAAACCCAAATAAATCTATCTGTGTAAAAATAAAAAAATAACAGTGATTTGCGGAAAAAGCCACCAGTATCGCACCCAACGTCAGTGCCTATACATAAGCGTACTACAACGCGGCTCTCAAACAAAGGAGTAACAAGTGTGATACTATCACTTCAGGCTATAACTTTGGTTCTCTCGTGCAATGGTTCATCAGAGAGTTCGGTAGCTCAGTAATCCTCATCGCATGCTCATGACGCTATTCTGCCACGGCATGAGCCAACGATGCCTGACCTAAACCAACCGTCTCAAACGCTCCACTATGAAGCATAAGATTAGGCCCGCCCACCAACGGCCAGGTTAAAAACTAGCCAAGCGGAGTGAATTCATTGATTCGTAACAAAATTGACAAAATTCTAGGTCTATCAGGAGTTGGACCAAATACTCTCGTGGTTAGAGGAGTACTTGGGGGTTACTCAACCAATAGAACTCCATACCATAATATGGGTTTGAAAGACATCATGTGAATCATTTAGAAGATCACGCCCCACGCCCGACTACCTCTTAGTCATCGTCCGATTACAACATCAATCTCTCAGTCAAATTTCAACATCAGAGTACTATACCTTATTACCACAAACGTGTGCGAATTTTCTTAGAAGCTTGTGCCATCAGACACCAGATGGGCTAGTATTTTTGTTTTGATTTGAACAAAGTTGATTTTGTGTGCAATGACAGTGTGCAAAGAGTGTATCATTTTTGTCATTTTTTTTAATGAATTTCTGTTTTGAGTAGAGTGAAAGAGATAGAACCAAAACATTCTAGAACATTTGGTGACAATGCTAGTACAATCCAGTAGTAGTGTTCCCATGTGGTACACTGAAAAATTGCAATTGCAGGTTCGTCACCAAAGTTTTCGTTTGTGTTATTAAGTTGTTTTTTTTTTATATTAATTCTACTACTGTTGTTGCACATTCATTAATTCACTATTCACTATTACTATCACTTTTAAAAAAATATAACAGATACGCATTTCGTTTACTGCTTGCAAACTTATTCAGTGTCTATTCATAGTCTAAATTCATAGTGAAAGTAAATAGTGAATTAGTGAACGTGAAAGTGATACAATACCAGTCGAATAGAAAGGAAAAACAACGTAATAAGGTATACAATTATTCTACTAAAACGCTCATCAATCAATTTAGATCAGAGTCCTTTTAAAATTTGATACCAAGCTATAAGGCATGGTCGTTAAAGATTTTGAAGACCTGGCCACTACAAACCTAGTCTTTACGATACTCACCACTAAACCCGACACATATGCCTTCGTCCATTGTTTATGGGCAGGATCCTGCTCAGAAAGTCCCACACCAAATTATGTCTTTCGGGAAAGGTTGTCCTGTTTTCAGTTTCTATGTCGTTGTTTGTCATCATTTCCAACCCATCCATAGGGCGGCGGATGCAGTTACTGCCGTTGTCGTCGATACCTGTCGATGTCCAGTACAGAACGGAGAAACAGAGAAGATAAAAGTATATTAGAAGCAATAAATAATCATTTCACCGTCGCACTTGCTTCCCAGAAACTGCAAAAGGAAAACAACGACGGAGACGGCCCACTAGGAAAGCTGATATTTCCAGCATCGCAACCATCTTCAACAGGAGCCCGCGCGGAAATGAGTAGGAGGTCTTTGGAGGGAGATTATTCCCAACACGTGGAACATGCCCTCTCACTGCACTAGCACTCGAGGTGGGAGTCAAGCGAAGAACAGAGACTGAGCATAAATCATCTCTGTACAAAAAGATAATCTCCGGCAATAAGAGTTAATTGGACCGAAAGCGGATGGGAAATGTTGGTGGTTCTGATCGTTCGCCTCCATCGAACACGACGACGATGACGGCGAAGATGATGAGGTACAATTTCCCGCGGGGATGTAGAAAACAGGAATGGGTCATAAATCTAGTTGCTAACCTTAGAGCGAGCTGGGACTCGCAGCATAGATAAACTATATCGTAGAAGGCATAATCCGGACTTTGAAAAATAATCCTCTCTCTTGTAACGTAAGCATTAAAAGAGTAGACATTTTTGCCGATTTTTCGATAAATCCTGAGATGTAATTTCAAGCTGTCATAGGTTTACTGTTTACTGACCAATTTTCAATGTGTTACGTCTTGTTTTTCTGTAGTTATGGCAGAAACAGTGGAGAAACTTCACGCGAAAACTTGTTCATTTCTTCCAGAGCTGTTCCACGCCAAATGGTCAATCATTCACATTTGAGGGGGTTAGAAGGAAAGGGGTGTAAGTGACTTTGATCGATTCTCTTCATCGACATTCTCTTTCGTTAATAGTTCAGCTGCAAACACATTCCTTGATTCGTGTGCCATTCTGGATGCTAGATGAGAACCTCCTCTATCAAACTATGGGGCAGAAATAGCGCAAAATCTGTTTATAAAGCTGTGGCTATCAAAAGAGAAAGTCGATGAAGAGAATCCATCAAAGTCACTTACACCCCTTTACTTCTAACTCCCTTATTTGAGCTAGAATTCGGCCATTTTTAATCTCGCAAAAAAATAAAAATGGCGTATTATTCATTAAATTATAACCAGAAAACGTCCCTTCCAATCGAACTAAAGGCTAAGTCAAAGATGTAGGAAAATAAAAATACACGCAAAAAAAATGTAGCAGTTTTGGGTAAACAATCCGAAAAAATGTCCAAACCTTTTTTTTACATTTTGCACTGAACACCAATTTTCTATACTTTCAAAATCGTTTTCTGAGCAAATTTTTACAACAACAAAATTATATAGGCTCAAAAATGTGTCCAAAAGTTGTTGTTCCATTATTTTTGTTAATTTGTATGTCTTTTACTTGAAATTTTCACAGAAGATAGCATTTTTCATACTAAAAAGCGTATCTTTGAAAAATATTCAAAATATATTGGTTATTTTTGTTATTTAATTTTTAAACACATTAATGGATTTTTTTAGTTAAAATAACTGAGAAACTTACCGTGTATATTTTTTTCTAAAAAGGAATTATTTTTTCTTACAACTTTGTCTCAGACGTCATTTCGATTGTTAGTGACGTATTCGAGTTATGTTTTCAAGACAAACAATGCATTAAGTTCTAGTGAAACATTCACAGATTCTCTTCGACGATACTCTCTTTGCATCCCCACGGCCATGTAAAGACATTTCTTGCTTTTTCAACACACAGTTCGGTGAAAGACTCTTTTATCTAGCATCGAATATGCCAAACATGCCAAGAAACGGTTTTGTAGCCAAGTAATTTACCAAACCGATCAATGTTCGGGATATGTTGAAAAATTTCCAATACGACATTTTGAAGTTTTTTGCGAGATTTAAAATGGTCGAATTTTAGCTCAAATGTTAACAATTGACCATAAGATACCATAAGGAGAAGATCGAGTCTGAAATTTAATTTGTTTTGCTATTTGGCCTGGAAATGCTCTGTTTTCGTAGGAACAAAAAGACGATCGTGAAAATTAGTAGTTCACAAGGATCTACTCCAATTACTTTGGATGACCAATCACGTGGAAAAATTGATTGAAACGACAAAGGAAATGCTGAAAATTACCCTAACAAAAAATCAACCTAGCTAGAGCTGTTGCAAAGTTATCAGAAATGGCTTGAATTATTGTATTTTCATTTAGTAAAACAATAAGCACAAGCAAGCAAATGTAATTGTTTGGTTCTATTTAACGTAGTTTTATTTTTGCGAAAAATTTCCCCTATTTTTAATTAAAAACGATACATGATTTTGACAGGAGGTCCTTAAAAGTATTATGTTCCAAAAATAAAATCAACTAACAATAAGAAGGTTGCAACAACTATAGGGGGGACGAGCCCACCCTCTATCTATTAAAATCTACTAAAGTCGTGAAGTGTAGCATTTCAAAAATGTTCCAAAGCATCAATGCGATGCAATTTGTTCTTTTTTATTCTTTCGAGTTTTCGTCCAACTCGACAGAATAGCAATTGCACCACATTCACCTAAAACAATTCCCACCAAGCCAACCTGTCAGCCATTGTTTTCGTTCGGTTAGCTGATGCTGGCAAGTGGCACAGCTGCTGTTTTGTGTAAGCAGTCATTATTGTGAAACCCCTCTTTTTCTCCTGATTCTCTTTCTCCTTCTCAAATAGCGTTTTTTTTTTTTACTTTTCAAGCAAATTCCGTCATGACTTTCCCCCTTCTATCGGCAATCGATTGCCACCAATCCTCTTGCATCAACCTTTCCTTCACTTCAAAGCTGTCTGAGAAGAGTTTTTCTCCGCGAATAATGTACACGACACGAAGAAAACATTTACTTTCCTCTTGACTTGTCACATAGCACAACAGCCCCCCCACTGCCACCCCCTCCTTGTCATCGTCGTCTTCGAATAGCCGTCGATGTCAAAAGGTTCAAGCAGCGAGAGGAGCTGTGCTTGTTGTATTCATTCCATTATTGCTGTTGTTACGCGTCGAGTGGCTGTTTTTGTATCGCTTCGTCGTCGTTACTCGTGACAACGAAATTTCATCCTTTGTCTCTCTGTGTCAAAGGTGATAGAGGTGGAAAGGTGACAAAGAAGCTCAGGAAAAAACTAGTTTTGTTTAATTCTTGCACGGCGACGGCGACGACGGCAGGAGGATGAGACAAGAATTCGGTTACAGGTGGATGAGCTGTCTATTGTTGTTCGCCGGTTGTGCAATCCTTTCGGAAGACTACACTGGAACAATAGCTTCGGAGGCCCGAGATGAGCAAGTCTAGGAAATGGCTTCGGATGCAAGATGGTTCTAGTTAAAAGGTTAATCAGAATCGCCAGTATATGGGCAAAAGCAGCCCGAGGAGGCAGAAAATCTTGTGGAGGCCAATTTAAAGGGACAAAACTCGATTAGTGCTTTGGTGTTATATTTAAATATATTGGAAACGGGACCCAAACACCATTTAAAAGCACAAAACTCAATGCAGTGTGATAAACCTTAAGCTGAACCAGCCTTGCTCGGATATCGGTTTTCCACGGGAGACTAATACCACGTTCGAAATACAGAGTTATAATAATTATCAACAGTGCTCAGTCTGGTGTTTAAGTAAGACGAAAGTAATTCAGTATGCTCAGTTTGTTGGCAAAAGCGCACTGCTTTTATGAGGAGAAAGAGAGTTATCGGAGGTGCTGTGTGACGAGCCGATCGGTACGTTTGCGTCAGTCATTCAGTTGATTCATTGTGCAATTTCACTGGAGCGGATCAATCACGGAGCGGCAACCATTGATATGTGCAGGAAGGAAGCAAAATTCGTGGAAGCCACTAGTGCTTCAGTTTTACATTGCATTGGGATACATTTGAATGGAGCCCTTTCCAATAGGAAAAAGCACGTGGTATTCCTGGAACAGTTTATATGTAAAATATAATACTCAACATGGCAGCTCAATTAAATTTTGAAATTCGGATAACCTTTAAGCTGGACAAATCTTGGGCGGAAGATGGATGTTTGCGGTGATGTTTTGAACGGAAGATTGCTCTGTTGTTTTAAGACGATATCAAGGTGTGATGGAGGCTAATGGAGTTTTATTAGAAAATTTGATATTAATTCTGCACCGTCAGTCAGAATTTAGAGCGTTTTTTGTTACTTTCAGTAATCTTACAATTTGACAGCATGTTCATAAGGTTGTATAACGGATTGCAGGAGTCTTTGGATTTATATCGAAGTATCCAACAACTGTGTTAAATTTGCACGAATTTGGCTGCGATTTGAATATGCGGAACGATTTTAAATTGAGTATGAGAAACGAAAAAATAATTAATTTGCCTGTCTAAAATTCATAAATTGTTTTATATTGATATTGACATTGCAGAACAAATTCGCCGAGGACTGCAAATCGGTTCGATTTATATGCAAACATTGATTAACCATATACTAAGTAGAACTCTGTACCGGGGTGCGTAGCTACCAAGGTTTATTATACTGTCCGTATTTATTTTTTAGTTAGAAAAGCGTTGCAATGGACAACCGAAATAAGTTCAATACTCGTAAGTTTTTTTTGAGAAGCTTCTAAGGGCAATTTCTACAGGGTGGCAGATCGAAAGTTCAAACAAAATTAACTGAGTTTTCCAGGTTTTGCCAGCTACCAACACTAAAGCGATGTGACTCGCCTCTCCGTGAGTAAGCGAATGTGTTCTCTTTCTAAGCTCCCTCATTCACCATATTGTGCAAGAGCAAGATATGTGGATAGGAAAACGAACTGTATGGAGCGGCGCTGTCGGAATCAGTCTGAACAGTCAAGAATTTTACGAAAACTAGATTTGGTAGGATCTCATAAATCTTCTCCCAAAAATCAGTTTCAACCAGGTTTCAACTTGCACATTTTTACAACCTCCAAAGAGACAATTTTGGTTTTATGAGGATTCGTAGACCATAATTTACACTTATATAATGCTCTAAACCCTCAATAAAACTAGCAATGTTACATAAGCTCACTTTTTTCAATTTTT